ACATGATTAATCTGTGTAGTATGATGTGTTTAATGACATGTAATTTATGTATGTTGTTGGGTTCATGTTATGACATGCTTGGATATGTTAGAACACGATTGGGTAGGGTTTAGAATGAATAAAGGATGAAGAAGACGGGTTAAACGTGGAATTTCTAAAAATATTCCAGACAACAATCAATTAGTTCCCCTAAAACAATTGATTGGTTCACTTGTTACAACTACAATTTTGGGACATAATGGAGGGCTCTTCAAGAGATAAAACGAGAGCAGATCAGTTACTAATTGCAATAGGAAAGCCACTCTAGCCTATAGTCTTTGTCTTGAATCATAGAGGAAGGACAAGAGCTCGGACAACAACTATCAAAACTGGAAATGCACCTGGAACCACACTGCTTTAGCTGCTTGAGTACTCGTATCTGCTCCTTCTATCATTGGTGTGGTGGTATCGTATATAAGATCCCAGCTTCATTTAGGAGTTATCTTTTCCTCTAACTATCAATTTCATACATAATATAGATGGTATCCTAGCATAGAAAAGAGATCAAAGGAAGAGAGCGGACATGATCAATAGTACAATAAGTATACAGGAAAGAGAGAAGGCAGAATTGGACAAATTGGTTCCTTTTAAAATTGGAATTTTTTGCCAGAATGTAGGGGACAAATGATTGTTAGCTAGTGTAATTGATTGGTCCATTTTGAAGCGTAAAAAATCAGTGAAATAGGGAGTCGGGAACAATAGATTGGTTCATTTACTATTTTCGTCATAACTAGAGTTTTGTGACTCAGATTAAGGCGCAGTTTGAAGCGTTGTAAAGTTAACGCACATAGCTACATTAGGGTGGTTCCCGTGAGATGAATTAACATGTTTGAATGATGTGTGGATGTATGTTAAATGTGTGAATGTATGATTAATTGTGTGAATTATTATACATGCTTAATGATGAATCAATGTTAAGATGATTTAACGTGATTGCGTATTGTGTGTGGATATGCATTCAATGCGGTATGGCTGTTGTGAAGTGAAAATTTAATTATGTTATTTATTGTACATGCTTGTTGAGGATTGATGAGATGAGTAGCTCGGGTGAGAACTACTCGCAGTGCGTTGAATGCATAATTGATTACGGTCAAAGTGAGGATGTAATCATTGTTATGTTATTGTTTTTGTGTGATTATTTACAGTCAGAGTGGGATTGTAATCATTGATTATGTTATTCTCATTTCCAAGAAGAGTTCGTGTCTCCTTTGTATTGAGGCTATATATGTCGAGCAGGTTGTTGAAACATGTGGTCCACCATTAGAAACTCAAATTTCTTCTCAGAGGGAACAAACTTCTTAGTGGAAATTTTTGTTTCTTTGCCCATGGAGTTGTAGTCAAATCCTATTTCATTCACATTTCTAGACATTTTCCTTACTTCCAGGATTTCATCCAGCATGTTTGAACCATTGTTCAACATACGAACATATTTTGTCATATTTTCTAGTTTGGAATTTAACAGTGTGACTTCCTATTTCAGACCAATGATGGCTAAAATGAGTTTCTCTTTTTCCTAAAGGATACCACTTATAGTTTTCTTTTGTTTCTCTCCTACCATGCATGCTTCCTTTCATTTGATATACAAAAGTTTGTATGTTTCAGCTAACTCTTCATCAAAGGTGTCTTCATCACTAGACTCACTACCAGATTCATATTTCCCTGTGAAAGTCATCATCCTATTAGTTGTTTCTTCTTCACTCACATCTTCAGAATCAGACCAAATGGATATTCCCTTTTTCTGCTTCTTTAAAAACGTGATACAATCAAATTTAGTCCAAAACCTTCACATTTATGACATTGTATTCCATTGTATTTGTTTGGTTTGTCTTCATATTTTCTCTTGCAATGGGGATCAATGTTCTTGAAGTTGTCTGACACTTTGTCTTCGACACTTATTCTCAATATTTTGTCCAGTCTCTTCGAGGCTTTGTTAAACTTTCTACTAATGAGAGCTATAACATCTGAGAGACATTCTTTAGTATTCTTCTCACATTGATATTCATTTTCTTCATTGTTGGATTCAAAGGTTATAGTCTTGTTCTTATTTTTAGTTCTGTCATTTATTGTCATCTCAAAGGTTTATAGAGAACCAATGAGTTCATCAACTTTGATGTTGCTTAAGTCTTGGGTTTCTTCAATAGATGTAACCTTCATATCAAACTTCTTAGGTAGTGATTTAAGGATTTTTCTTACCAGCTTTTCTTCAAACATCTTCTCTCGTAAGGAAAATGAAGTGTTGGCAATGTCACGAAGGCGAATGTTAAAGTTTGAAATAGATTCGTCTTCCTTCATTCTTAGATTCTCAAATTTGGTTGTGAGGAGCTGCAACCTTGACATATGAACTTTGGATGTGCCTACATGTGCAGTTTTGAAGATCTCTCGAGCCTCTTTTGCTTCAGAACTTGTGTTTATCAATCTAAACATGTTCTTGTTCACACAATTAAATATAACATTCAATGCTTTGGAGTTGAAAAGAGTTTCTTCATCTTCAGCATTAGACCACTCAACTTCTGGCTTTAAGATTGATGGTTCATCTTGAGAGGTAGGCATAGGGTGTTTCAACCTTTTATTATAGTCTTTCATGTTTTGTTGTCCATGGATTTAAGAAAAACAATCATTTTAGCTTTCCAATCATCATAGTTGGTGTCATCTAAGACAGATGATTTATTGACTGGTTCTCCTTCCTTAGTATTATCCATTTGAACAGAATATACTTTCTCTGGAGCTCAACCAAACAGACCAGGGTGCATGTTATGATACCAATTGAAATTCTGGTTCGTTCGTAGGATAGATGTTAGACACAAAGTCTGGGACAATGTGTATAACTTGCTTATTACAGATTAATAGATAATGAAAAATAAAACATAAAGCAATAAAGAACACAAAGGATTGATAACCAAGTTCGGTGCAACGTCACCTACGTTTTGGGGGCTTACTACCCAAGAAAGAAAATTCACTCTCAATAGTATAAGTACAAATAGTCTTAGATGAACAACTCTTATTCAATACCTCTCTTCCTAATACTACTTGTGTTTTTCTATTTATGACTCCCCTAAATATGAGAACATCTCTCACTTTCTCTTAATCACTAACCTTAGTGATCAATACATATAGATTTAAAGAATGTTGAATTACAACTCAACTAACAAAACAACCTTTATGTCTTTGATATGGAAGTTATGCACTATATAAGTGCATAAATAACAAATACAAAGGCTCAAATATCAAAACCTGACACACACTATATCTTCAATTCTTATGCACACCTTATTATTAAGAATGAGTCTTCTTATATAGCAAAGTATTTGTTGGGTCTGGGCATATGAATTGAAACCAAACAGATTTGATTTACTATACATTAATGTCCACTAAGAAATTTGAACTCATTCACTTTAAATCTTCATTTTAATTTGATTTGGTCTTGGACAATCTTTTATCAAATCTTTCTTATAAATATCTTTGCTAAAAAATACAATTCATAAATAACAAATCTTTGTAGATACAAATCGAATCACGATCATTGACAAACAACCTAAGACCAAATGTTCCACAAATGCTAGAACATTTTCCCATTGATGTCTCTTCACAATTTATATCTTGATGCTCATGTTGTTTTATCTAAAACAAACAATCGTCTAAAATAAACAATCAAAAGAACACGAAGATACATTTTCAAATTAACTTTTAACAAAATAACATAAATGACTCACTTACGAATAGATGTGATATAATAAACAATTAAAAGAACACTAAAATAAACAATCAAAAGAACACGAAGATACATTTTCAAATTAACTTTTAGCAAAATAACATAAATGACTCACTTACGAATAGATGTGATATAATAAACAATTAAAAGAACACGAAGATACAATTCCAAATTAACTTTTAGCAAAATAGAATAAATGACTCATTTACGAATAGATGTGATATATTTTGATTCGTACAAAAGTATACTTTCAAATTTGAAGGAAAAAAAACAATTTTTGAATTTTACAAGGGTGACTCTTTGTGGTGGGGTGGGAAGATCAATCCCAATGTTTGAGTAGAAATTTGTAAGAAAAAATGTATTAAAAATAGGAGGGTTTGGTCAACATAGTCACTTATGTGCTGTCTTTAAACAATAGCAGTTAAGTGGTCCTCTCCTCCCTTATAACTTCCTGTAGCTGCATCTTTATCACATCCACCTATTCCAGGTCACCACCACAACATCAAAGTGTGATTCATTTAATTCATTATTTCATCTAACTTCGTGATGCTGACTCCTTCACACATCTAAAAAAAGCTTAAGAATTGCATCATACCACACCAATTACAATGTAAAACAAACGCACAAATGAGGTAAAAGTAAATTATAAGAAAGCAGTTGTAAAGAATGCAGAAAACGACCAATTACAATGTACAACAAACGCACAAATGATGTAAAAGTAAATGACAAGAAAGCAGTTGTAAGGAAAGCAGAAAACGATTGATAAACAGAGTAAATCAAAATTCACAGTACTGTTATAAATAGACTATTTTGCATAGCATTTCCAACTAAACTTTATAGACTCATTCACAGTATCACAATCCTACAAAAATTGTTACAATGCAACGGTTTTTAAACACTCGATGTCAACCACATTCTTACTCTGTCAAAATTTTCATCCAAGAGATACTAAAGAACATATATAACTTTAAGTAACTAGCAAAACAAAATTTTAGGGTTGGGGGGCCTCTCTGGTACACTAGCTGTCCATTCTTGTACTGCTTAAGCTATAACCATACAAACAGCTCCCATTAAGTGTCATGCCCACATGCAGCAGCTAGAAGAATGTAGGGTTTAGACATGTTATATAGGGAGAATATAATTACACCTCAACTTCAAGCCCAATCCTTATGCCTCTTCAGCTGTGTTGAATTAAGTGTAAGTGGTACCAATGAAACAAATATCCTACAAGGGATCCATGCATGGAGTTATGTCATTCTACAATTGAAGTCCTTTTCTCCAGTAGAGACTCCAAAAATTCAGAGCACAACTTGGAGAGGGGTGGCAACATATGTGATGACCCCCTAAATATGGTTTCCCAAGGCCTATTTGATGCAGCGGAGTAAACCGATGAAGTTTTGTTCCTTTTTAAATCAAACTTGGGCAACTCTCCATAAATTGATGTATATCCAAATTGTCCTGAAATAGTGGAGGGGGGTAAATGAAAAGTTAAATCTTAAACATGTAAACTAGGAGAAAAAAATAGTGGAAGTATTTACATTTTTACCGACTAATTTCAATTGAAAAAAAAAAGACATATTTCAATCAGCTTTTTTTTCTTTCATTAAAAATAAATAACAAATTGCAAGGGATTGAAGCTGTGGCTGATTCGGTTCTTCATATATGTGGAGAAAACAGTTTTAAAACCTGATCTAATAAAAAGTAGAAGCAAAGTCAACCCACCATTTTCTTCAAGCCCAACAAAATCATCATTCTTAGTCATATTAAGCCCGCGTGCTTCCTTGTCAAATGGATCAAATAGGACATATTCGCGATCTCCATTTAAATACGCAAGCAGTGTTTCTGATGATTTTCCATCTGCTAGTTCAGATGGATTTCCTTTAAGAAAAGCAACACTCCCTCCCTTGGCCTGAATAAAGAGAGTAAATAAAACAATCTGGCATTCATTCTAGATATCACAAAATACTACAAAATGGCTAAAAATTCATTCCATGTTAAATACCACAAAAGTCATTCCACGTTAAAGAATTCACTCTAGCATTAAACTGGCTAAAAATTAAAATAAGAAGCCAATTCCGGAAGATATGTCTAGTTGCAGTCCCAAAACAATCTGATTATACTGAACTTCTATTCCTTCAGGGATAATTATGCACAGCCCATAACCGGAAAAACAAACGAAACTAGAAGGACTTGGTAAACAAACAATACCTTCGTTACAGACCAAGAAGCCACAGGAATAGGATCTGTTGCGTTGAACACTATGATTATTCCATCACCTTTAAACAAACTTTCATTTGATTTGGGAAGGAGACCAAGGATTGCAAAAAATGATAAATCTAATGCACAGGAAACAGCTGCATAGATGTGAAAAGCAAATTTGTCAGATCGATACTACCCTTATTCAATGAATAGGTTACAAACAAGGACTATCTAGTAAAATGCAAATGACGGAAATGAAAAACATGATTATCAATAAATAAAATAACAAGAGCAAAATATTTCAACACGTTATCTATAGATATAGCATTGCAAGTTAGAAGGGTAAAGCTAGCATGACATACTGAGTATAAAAAAAATCATAGGGAAAAATATTTTTTCAAACCTTCTATGTGAAGCCCATATGACCAAGAAGCAGCTAACTTTGACATACTCCAAACAGATAGCTGTGGTGTGGAACCATGAGAAACAGAAAGAAGATACTCGGACTTTCCAACAAAACTGAGCCTCCCGATTGGCTGGAAACAAAAAGAAAATGTTAGACCAGCGGGGCAGAGCTGAGGTACAAATTAATGAGCCCTAAAATATAGAACCCAAAGCGATACTTAATAGGCATGTATACTTAAAATATAACAGGAGGAAATTATTTTCTTATGTGCTGTGTTTTCTTCCTCTTTTATTTTCACACTCCTGTATTTGATGCTTTAATGAATTCTGCAACATAAAGTGCAGGCTTTGCTGCCTCCAACAGTAGCCATAATCTTCATCAAAATTCCACAAACTAATCACACAATCAATATCAAATGAATTTTACCACAAGCATCAGATTGAGGAGCTGGCTTGTCTTATTTGTTGAAATGGAAAACATTCGAAAAAACTTGTGAAGAAACACAGAATTAAAAATAGACATGACAACAACAACAACCAAGTCTTATCCTATTAAGTGGGGTCATAAATAGACATGATTAGAGTTCAAAATATCACCGATGGAGTCTCTCCTACAACAGCAATGAGCTCATTCTTGTCAGGATCCCACAATGTAATAACAGTGTCTGCTGCAATTGCAAGCACAGAACCATCAGCTGAAAAAGCAGCAGCTCTCATTGCCATGTTTCTGCAAGGGGTTGAGTAACAGCATGATGAGTTTTAGTTAGTCATATCATAAATGTCACATGATCAGCTATACAACTTTTTCTGCTTGACCTAATGAGGATTAAAATTAGTATTCAACTATTCAAATGAGTAATCATACTGAAGACACACCAAGGGGCCAGATGATAGTAAATAGAAGACCAAAATGCAAGGAATCTTGATTGAATTTCAAAAGAGAATATTCACGCCAACACTAATGCTACAATTTTACTAATTAAGACAGAAATGTGTTCAATTGCATTAGCCACTTTAAATCAGCCCAACAGGCAAAAGTTGACTAGGGGTTGGTGAAACTTGCATATTGAAGGCAGAGCTTGGTAGTAATGTTTTATTTTTTCGATAGCATACAAAAGAAACTATTAAGTCAAGCAATTAAAAAAGGATTTGTACTTATATGACCCAACAGCATGGCACATCCAACTAAAATTCTGTAGTGTCTGGTCTTTATGCTGAGCTAATTCCCTGCAAACCCATATCTGAAAAAAAGAAAGAAATGTCACCAGAAAATTCTCTAAGCAATAAATATGCCATCCAAAAATACCTTGAAATCTCCACCATAAGATGTGCTGACAGCCATATGACGGGTCGGATGAAAAACAATTGCGGAAATATGAGCATCCCTGTTAATAAGCAAAAATTTGTCAAATCCACTTTCTAATATATCTGAAGGTACACAGCACATATAACATACAGCTTGTGATTCAGAAAAGTTACAACTTAAACTTATTTGAAAAAAGCAAACGCGATACAGAATCTGATTAAGCCATGCCATTCTACTAACTTACTGCTGCTTACATATGTAGAGAATCAGAAAGACAAACTAAAAAATACTTCATTGACACACCTGTGAGGTTCATAAATAAGGGTAGACATTGAAAATCTTTTGGTATCTGAATACAAATCCCAGAATTTCAAACAAATTAGACCTCCTATTCCTTCTTCAGGAAGCTTGACTTCTACTGTACCCATCATAGAACCATCAATAGACAGTTCCACCATGGTCACTACTACCTGCAACAACATTATTCAATGAAAAAAATGTAAAAATCAATAATACTTGTATGCCCGATTGTCAACGTATCATATTAAAGAAGCAATAGACTGAATTATAAAAATTACCCACTAACTCTCCTAATAATTTAAGAACAGTTACAATAACTGAAGAGTCTAACAGACGAATTAACATACCGTGACCTCGTCAACTGGTTGATAATTTCTTTCACATACTTGAACCTGCAAAGCAACAGACTTCAACATTTTAAAATCTGTGTTTAATTTAAAGGTTGTTAACTTATCACAACAATTTAAAGGCAGGGCAAATGCCAAGGAGTGTTTTTAAAGCAAGGAAATAAAAGTAAATCAATGAAAGGGAAAACATTTATCACATTGAAAAACCAAATCATTTATTAACTGTTTTTAAGTACTAATACTAACATTTAATAGAGCATGCTAAATATTGTTCAGAATCATTAGCTACACCCTAAAAGTAATTATAAATTAATCTAGACATACCAGGCCAAACACCAAATCAATCAACATAAACTAAATACTGATGAAAGTTTTATTAGAACCTAATGATATATATTTTTATGTGAGAGCAGTGAGTAAAACACATGGTCGTGTGACTTTTTAAGTAGTCATCTGCCCATTAAAAAATGTTTAATCTCAATCATCCAAATATGGGTGTATGGCCAAGTCTTAGCCCTCTGGCTCTTGTATTAGAAAAGCTCTCTGCTAGATACATCCCATGTGTGTGTGAAGATTTTGACGAGTTCTGCACAAAAACATGAAGATATTTTGTACGCAGATACTAGGTTTTAACTTAAATCAGTTGTATATATTTAAAATAAGTGATAATAACTTCAATAAAACAAAACGTTTTTAAGATAATGTAAAACCTATTTTTAACTTAGTAACTTTTAAGGGTGGGGAATCAGGCAATTATAATAATTTCAAAAAGAAACTTGAACCTCAAGCTATTACCTCATAGAGACCACGATTGCCAAACAAGCTGTAGAATTGGATGCCATAATTCTCTGTTTGTACAGCCACTAAACCAGAAGTGCGGTCAAAGGCAGCTTGGCTAGAAATGCTTTCACATATTTCTTGAGAAGACAAAGGGGGCTGGAAAAAAGTGAATGTAAAGGTTGTATCAAAACTACGACAAATGCATTTTTGTATGCCTGTGATCAAAACACACATTTAATATATAGATAAAATAAAAGAGTCTTCCTGTAGTTCTTACAAGATCGTTTTCAAAAGATTAATGACCATTTTACATAACACAGTTAGTTGTGGAAGAGAATCAAAAAGTCACACATACAACAACAACCAAGTTTTATCCCACTGAGTGGGATCGGCTACATGGATCAAATCTCATCATAATGCTGTATCCATAACCATGTTTCTATTAATCTCAAGCACTTTTCTAATAGTTTCTCTTATAAAGATGGACAGTACTTTAGTTTTCAAACAAAACAAAAAGTATCCAGCAGATAATCAATATTTTAGACTTTTCAATATATTAGGAATTAAGACACACTGACGACTTAACAAAAAAAAAAGAATATGAATAGACTTAATATAGGATCTAACCTTTATCCCTGAAATAGACCTCATTACTTCCATGGAAGAGGTCTTTAATATATGAATTTGGTTATCTGCACAAGATATCTGCAAACCCTTAATTAGTTAAAACACTATAAAGAGCTAGTTTGCTGTTGGGATATACCCATAGACTAACAATCATATGTTCAACTACACATAGGTAATCCTCACCGAGGAAAATGAAGGATCTGGAGAATCTACAAAATAACGAAGAGGAGATCCAATTCTTGGTAAAAATTTCTTCTTTCCAGTGTCTAGCTGCCAAAGCACAAGAACTCCCTCCTTCCCGCCTATTACAAAATGATGCCATACAAACAAATTTTATATTCAAAAAGTCAATAATTTTCTGCTCAACAAAGGATAAGACAGTTGGACCATCGTCAACCTCATCTTATACTCGTTTAGCACAACTGGTTTTAGAAAGACTGGGTTGCTACTAGGTGCTTAAGAATATACACATTATTCAAAACAGTCTGAAGGGTTACTTGAAACCCTAAACAATTAGTAAGTAAAAAACATATTTAACCTAATTGGAGCAAGTATTGTTGCATGAGTCATCATAGACATACTTGGAGAAGTTAAGGTCCATATAAGATAATTGGAGAAGTTTTTAAACCGAACAAAAGAATATTCAAAACAGCCTAGTTCTAGCTTTAGAAACAATCATTGTCCAATTAAATGGTTTTTTATAATAGCTCCAGGCATAGGGTTTACCTGAATACAAATAGACTCCATCCGAAGAAAAGGATAAGAGATTCACTCCGGCGGAGTGCCAATGCCATGTAGAGCATGATTCAGCATCATCATTTTGCCTTACCCCAGGCTTAGATTCCTCATCAGTCAATGATTTTTTGTTCAACCGCTCACCGCTGTCCCGAAAATTCTGAGCACCAAATCCTCGAAAAATCAAAATTCTTCCAGTTACATCGCCTGCAGCCACAATCCTCTCAGTTGGATGGAATGCAAGAACTGCAAAGGTTTTTGTATGATGCAGGGTAATCTTCTGTGAAACAGCAGAATCAGATTCCACTTTAGGAAGTTTCCATATATGAAGTTTGCGTTTGTCTTTTATGCCCAAAAACTTTCCACATGGACTAATCGTCAAATGTTGAGGCCGTTTAGTCTGCCATAGAATGAAAGAAATAGTGAAAATGTTCAACTTAATAGGATCAATAGTAAATCAAATGACTTCTAATTAATGGATCAGTAGTGGTTGCATAGCATTAGTCGCTATCTCGCAACATTTATACCAAACAGCATATCGCATAGCAATGGTAACTAGTTCAACTTCTGCTACACTATAGTCTATAGCAAGATAGCACCACTATAGACGCTATTTAACAACACTACCTACAACCCTCAAACTAAACTATCATTGACAACATCCAGTTACAAAACCTACAACAACAACAACAAATCCTTATCCCACTAGGTGGAGTCGACTACATAATTCAACTCTCGCCATAATGTTCTATCAAGGACCATACTTCTATCCAAATCATTAATCTTGAAGTGTTTCTTAATAACTTCTCTTATAGTCTTTCTAGGTCTTCCTCTTCCTCGAATTGTTCGCCTTCTCTCCACCTGGTTTACTCTCCTCACTACAGAATCTACCGGTCTTCTTTCTACATGCCAAACCACCTAAGTCTAATTTCCACCACCATCTTCAATCCTATAGGCACTACCCCGACACATACCACACATCCACGGCAACATCCTCGTCTAGTAAAAAAAACTACAAAATAGTTACCTCTTTCAAGGTAACTTTTGAAAGCCTGTGAAAGGTTGTCAAGTTACACTTCCTGATCTGTGCAGAACAAAGTCTAGGCTTATTATCTTTGTCATTTTCAGTTTGCATACACACATATGCATAAACATTCTGCTGATTTCCACTCTTCTGCTCCGGAGAGGATAACAAGGAAGGTATAACCTAAAACATTCAAAACAAAAAATCAATTCAGAAAAATAAACAAGTATAATAATGAAATATAAAATGTAAATTGAATAGAGAAAAAGGCTTTGTACCATGGAGAAAATAGGGAGGTGAAGGTCGATTGTTTTGATACATTCGACAAGGGAGAAATTCCAATAACGAATGGTTCCGTCGAGGGAAGAAGTCCAACAGTAGGAAAGAATCTTTGAGCCGGGGACGACCGCGACGGAGGTGACGGTGCTGGTGTGACCTTCCAGAGATGAAACCTGCAAGGCGGTGGCGGTGCTGAAGATAGCGACGGAGCTTCCGCATCCGACTAGGAGACGGTTGCCGTCGTTGGAGAAGGACGGAGGACATGAGACGTAGCTTTGGCCTCCTCTCATGGTGGTTGTGAGTGTGGAATTTCAGGTTATGAGAGAATGGAGGCTACGGTAGGAGAGATGAGTGAAGGAGGCGCCAAGGGAGGCACTGGTTGTATTCGGTGTGTGAGGGTTTTGGGTTTTTGCTTCAACTTTACCGTCTATTTTTTGTTATTATTACCCCCACCTTCTAAGTTTCATTTCCCCACCTCCTGTTTAACAATAGTAAAACATTCACTAAAGTCATTTGTTTTTAAATTCTTGAGCCTCCTTATCCTACTATTCTGTAAAATATTTTATGTTTTGCTTGTAAAATATTTTTAAATTATAAAATGCATTTGAATTTTGTTTTGTAAAACACCATTGAATTGCACAATACACATGGAAAGTATTTAATTAATAATATTTTTTTCATAAAATCAAAGCAATAACACAATAAGAAATTATATATTTGATCAAAAAATAATGGAAATTGATTTTTCCACTCTAAGTATTGCTCCTCCACCCTAATCAAAAACTATAACTACCACTAATATCTAGAAATACATCTTCGAACGCATTTTATTCATACAAAACTCATTCGTTTTTTAGTCAAACTTTTAGATTATGTCAAAAAAATAATACGAAAATGCATCTTCATATACCTTACGAGGATACATCTTTGAACGTGTTTTTAATTAAAAACGCGTCAAACCCTCCTCCTTTTTCATTTATCTTTTACTCTTTCAACTCATCAACTCTCTCAAGTCACGTCCAAGTTTATACCATCAATATTTAATCAATCAAATAGCTCACAATAAAACTCACATTTGGTAATAAAAAAAATTTATAGCAAAGAAAGAAGAAGGTGAGCGATTGTAAGGGAGAGGAATGGAAGTGAGAAGCGGCGGATGGGTCGGTCTAGTTCAAAGCCTAAGCTAAAATTGGTCTAGTTCAATAAGCGTATGATTGGTGAAGCTATGAATCGACAGATTTTTCTCTATAAAAAATTTATGTCTTTATACATTTGTATAAACTTAACATTAGGTTATGTAATATGTAGTTTAGATATGTTATTTAATTGATAAATGTGTTTGATAGGTTGTTTAAATAATGAGAGCATTTTTTGGATGTTGTATTCAAATGCATATTTGCGATTTTCATTCTTTTCTGAGTCGCTGAACAATATAGAAATGCACTTAGTTCAAAGTTATGATTTCCCATAATCTGAAAATGCATTTTCGTATTTAGTTTGTATGTTTTGTTTGATTTTATTTTCATGTGTATAATGCTTTTGTGGTTTAATTGTAGGCATTATGGCTGATAAAAAGCTAGATTGAGGCACAACATAGTTGTGTAGCATGCATCGGTTCAGAGGGAAAAAGCTTGAGCCTCACCAGCACCAATCGGTTCTAGTTCAGTTTATGTGGAGGCGTCAACTTTTAGAGCTCGTGCATCTCCACCTTCGTCTTCTCGGAGGAGTCATTTGTCACCTCCTGATGCCATGAAGCCCTCGCTGGTACATGTTAAGGCACCTCAGGGGTTTGGAGGAGGCACATCCAACTTATTATTGTTGCATATATATCAGGACCATGTTGTCAGGCATATGTGGGATGGAGAGGTCAAATTCAATTGTATTCATTCTTTGGAATATATTTGTTAGAATATTCAAAGTTTTTAATGATGATTTATTTTTCTACAGGACCATGATGTTTTAAAATGCATCAACCATGGTCGGAAGATTGTGAATCTGTTGCAACCTCAAGATCAGTGATTTCAGGATGTGTCACAACTATCTAGATTGCATAACCTATGCAATATCATGTATATTACGATTAACATTGGCATGCTCTCTGTGTTTTTTGAAATTTGGCATTCTAAAATGTCATATTTCCATCTTCCATGTGGTGAGACGTCAATTACATTAGATTATGTATCATATTTGTTGCATGTTTCAATTAGGGGAAGACTATTAGACCATGGCAAGATTATCAAAGATGATGTATTGGAGATGTTGGTGACATATTTGGTAGCTGGCTCGAGGTTTGCCCTAAGGAGATGGAAAACACCTAAGGTGTCATGCTAGGTTTCAATTCCTATAGAGGTTGTATGAACAACAACTGACAGCGGTAAAGCAGGTCGCAAGTGATGATGAGCAAGTTATACAGCAAATAACACATGCATTGAGAGCATACATGTTATACTTGGTTGACACGTTCATTTTTTTGGACAAGAGTGTCAATTATATGGATTTGGTTTACATGAGATACTTTGCTGACTTGGAGCGGATCTATGAGTGGTACTAGGGGCTGCTTGTTTGGTCTATCTATACTCCAATGTAGCTGAAAGTTATATGTGGAAGACCAAACTCATGACAGCTAGTTGCATGTCGTTGACAGTAATATATTTACATCCTTTACTATTTGTGTATCATTTCCATAACACCAGTGTTACACCATTAGTAATAATTCATATACCATTTTAAGTCTTGGATCCCCTAACACTTACCACGCATATACGGTTGGCTATATGTTCTAACTTACACTATGATATGCTTCGTGCTTGTGCATTCAGCCTGCTTATAGGGAATTTGATGACGAAGCCTTTCAGAGTGTATCTTGACTGCATGGTAGCAAAGGATATACACTTTCAGTCGTACATAGATCATCGTCAGACGTGTCCCTTGGATGGCATAGCCTTGTACTCTGGATGGTTGGCTTGTGGGTCACGTATGGTGTATCCACATCTACCGGGGTGTATCATGCGCTAGTTTGAATATATTCAGTTTGTTATTATAGATCCCTCTATTTCTGCTCCTTTTATAGCTTGCAGGCATATAGATGACATGTATGATAATTAGCTTAATCATATGCTAACAGATGACGCCTGCGGTACCCTAGCTCCTAACGAGTGGAGTTGTGCATACGGCTACGTCGCTTGGTATTTCAGGGCGTCACATCCTTATATGACACTGAATGCTCTAGGAGATCCACCTGGGCCAGCTTTAGGAGACACTAAAGGACGAGCAGGCTAGGGATGATCATGTTGCTAATGTATTGCCTGAATGTCGATGTATCATGGATCTTGCGCTAAAGGGCACTGACAGAGGATTCTTCCGGAAGGCTCTGATGTGGGGGATATTGTAGATGTCATTCTTACCGAGGCACGAACGACACTGCAGTATAAGAGACAATGTAGGAACTAGGGGGTATGGCATACGCAGTAGTGTAGTAATTATAATATGTAGTATTTATTAATGTTTGTTATTTTGACTATATTATGGATTGATTTATTAATATATGGTATTTTTTATCTTCTGCAATAAGTGTATGGTTTAATTTATAAAAAAAAAATATTATGATAACATAGTTATAATACAGAAGTATTTCATCGATGTATTTTATAAAATTAAAAAAGTCATAGTTTACTGTCTAAGGTGAATACGAAAATGCATCTTTGTATGTGTATGGTGATTACGGAGATGCATCTTCGGAGCAATTTGTCTCAAAATAAGTGTGTTAGGAATGTATGTGGTGCGTATATGGTGAATTCAGAAGTGCATTTCCGAACTAAATTTTGGAGGAAAATGGGGTGAGCTCAGTTAGGACGTGTTTTAATGTGAAAAGGGTGCGTCAGAAAGTGGATTTCTGGATTTGCATAGACATTTTTGAATTTCCGTAGGGTGTTTCTCCACCATTTAAGGTGGGAGAAGCAATCTCCAGAATAACATTCAATATCAGAGAATACATAACTAAGGGTGTATGTTTTATATAAAAAAAAAGGTGTACGTGGGACATTTTGGGTTGGGTTGGTCAAACTCAATACTCAATCTATACGAGACACTCTGGTCTAGGTGAGGTAAATTAATCACCTGTTACACCATTTGATCAGTTTGGACAAACATACTAATTTTTTGGTTGGATTGGGTTAAGTAGTGGATTACCCAAATAATTTGTATGATTTGTTAATATTGAATGACAAAATGACGAGTTATCATATTTTTCATAAAAATTACTCCAGATTTTTATTTTTTAAAAAGAATAATAGATGATAATATCAAATAATAAAAATTATCATAAAATACCAGCAACAAACTTAAGTTGCATGACATAAAATCATATTAGCATCAAAATAATAAAAAAGTAAAAGATTATAAGTTAGTTAAAGTCGTGGTTCACTAAAATAGTAAATGCTCAAGATACTAAAATTGCAACAAAAAATCATTAAAATTGTAATAATAAATATTTGATTAGTGGGTCAATGTTTTTTTTTTATGTCCGAAACTAATTTTACCCGGAACCCGTTTTTTTAATAGGTTTTTTCGTTTTTAAAGTCATATACACCCAATTATCTGACCCAACCCGTTTTTTTGTGAGTTTGATCAAACTTTACGGGTTTACCCAATCCATGTACACCCCTATACATAACAACAAAAAATAATCAATGTGCATACTGACCCCTTGATGTGAAGAAACATATTTTTTGTAATTATAACAATTATGATGAACCTTTTTTACAAAAATACTAATAAAGTCTGTATCCATAAAAAATACTAGGGGTTAACGAGTTCATATAAAGTTAACACATAATAAAAGAAACAGTAGCATGAGGTATAAAAAAACTTGTGAATTTTTATTAAAAAAATCTACGGAATTATAGTTTTGGATCTATTCCGAAAGTATATTCTCATACTATAGTTTGTTTTTTTTACAAAATGTGTGTGTGATTCACTTACGCATGAATTTTGTGTATTTGGGGTGCTTTTGAAAATGTATTTCCAAATTCTATGGCCATTATGGGTTTTTACAAGGGTGCGAGAGTAACACTTAGAGTGGAAAAAGTATTGTCCGCGTGATTTTGGATGGAAAAGTTAACTCAATATCTCTACCATTATACTTGGGGTTACTTTTCCCACCTTATGTGTTGCTCACCCACCGCAATGAAATTTCAATATTGCATCTAAAATTCAAAATTTTAAATCCATACACACCCAAAAATAAAAAATAAATACACTAAATGGAAGATGTAAGGGCCAAAAAATCATC